TATAACCCTTTTGCTGATTTTTAAAGTGTTACATAAACAGGACAGGTGAAATATTATCATGTAAAGCAACCATAAACACATGAAAAGACCTAGGTTTACAATTTATGATTAAAACTCTACTATCTATACAATATACATAGACATAAAACGTAAAAACTTAAATATCTTAGAAACAGTAGCCAATCAGTTGTTTTAATTGTCATATTTGAATTCAGCACATCAAAATACATAATAAATAGCACATTTTATCTCTGAAGCAGACGACTTCTCAAAAATTGTAGACCAGTGTTATCATAGACTCGGAAACAGGTATTGCGTTTTTTCTCATAGAGTGTCCCTCCCCCTCCGGTTTAGCCTGGTCTATCTTTTCATAATAAGTTGTAATTGTGTAGTTGCTAACTGGACCATTGCGAGAAATCTCATCCATGGTCCAAGTCTAGGCTTGGCACAGTTCAGTTTTTATAACTTCAACCGATAATATCGAGATTTATGTTAAGCATTTTTTACAGTTTATGTCTTTTTCAGTTTTCACAGTTGTGTGCAAAATTATGGGATTTAAGCAATTTTTAAAAAATTTTGATAAGTTTAAATTTTCAAAGCTGTGGGAAATTATGGGGAGGGGAGGTTTCAGACAGTTATCTAAAGACACAATATGGAAGTTAAAGCTTTATAACTGTTGAACTACAAACTGTCAGCATCCCATCTCAAAATATACACATTAAAAATCCTTAAATCGGTGAATCATGACATTTTTTACTATGCATTCACTTAGTCCATTTCTAGCTACCCTAATTCAAAATTTAAATCACTGGATTTTTTCCTTCTAATTAAGTTGTCAAGCAGCATTTTTTTTACTTGGCCTATCGGTACATTTTGATTATTCTCAATGGGAATATTTGTTTGCTGTTAAGGTTTGTGTGTGGGTGGAGAAATTGACATTTGCTGACATTGACCAATAAAAATCGATTCCTTCCGAACCTGTTTATGTCCCAGAACCTTGACAGTTGTATTAGACAGCGGATACAGTAACGTCAAGTGTTTAAGAAAAGACTGGTGTGTCTGGGGCTCAGAGTCCCCCAGTTCCCAGAAACTGGTCCATCTAGCCCCGTATCCTGTCTTCTGACATTGGCCAATGCTAGGTGCTTCAGAGGGAATGAACAGAACAGGACAATTATCGAGTCATCCAAACCCTGTCGTACACTCCCAACTTCTGACAAACAGAGACTAGGGACATTCAGAGCATGGGGTTGCTTCCCTGACCTTCCTGGCTTATAGCTATTGATGAACCTATCCTCCATGAACTTACCACAGAAGGGGACTGACAGAGCTGACAGCCCCCACCTTAAACCTTCAAATTCCTCTGCTATCCCTCACATTCTCCCTCCCCTCCCATCTTCTCCCTTCCCTCTCATTTACCCTCCCAAATATCCTCGCTGCAGACCCAAACCCCTCTTCCCATATTAGTGCCCACTCTTGTAACACTCCCCTCCCAAACAGCATTTGCATGTGCCATTTATTTTCATCTCAAAAATAGTTTCTTCACCCTCTGAATACACTGCTGTGCTGAGATTACGTTTCCCACAAGTAAGAAACGCCTCAGACACCGGGAGAGTGGAGCCACACATCCTGGCATTTTTATTTTAGTTTTTGGCCCCAGGCAGAATTGAGACTCATGGCTGGGCTCGGAACTGAAGCCACTCTGAGCCACCCCACATATGCTAAGGGAGAGACAGTTTTCCTGATTGCTAACCTCACTCTCTGCACAGGCGCTGTGTAATCCCTGAGGGGCACAAAGAGATGTCTCACAGAAGAAGCGAAGTCTTTTTCAAACAATGTTTTAATTTGACTTCCCCCTGAAGGGCTGGTGGGCACCAATCACTCTCATGAGGTAGCCCTCGAGGGTTGGAGCCCCTGCTCCAATGGGTTGAGCCCTGGTTTGAGCTCCATCTCTGAGCGAAAATACATTACCAGAATGAGGCAACTTTAAGGAAAGCTGATTTTTCCCCTGGAGGCTGTGTCTCAGGAAATCCTTGTCGAAGTGGCTCCAAATTTGGACCCCTGGTGCTGACCAGGACCCCCCATGAGGCACACCAAATTTCAAACCAATCCAAGTAATGCCAGGGATTTCACAGCACTTAAGACAGTCAAGCTTGACTCAGAAAGCTGGTCTTTAGCTTTACAATAGCAGAGCTCTCAGTCTGCTATAATGACTGTTATTTTGAGGCATGTGGGCCTGGGTAGTGTGTGAGGGGGAATGGAGGTGGTAGGATCTGTGGGTAGAATGGGGTGGGAGGAGTTAATGGGATGTGGGGAGGGGTTTCTGCCCAGGAGGTTCCATGGAGGAGGCAGATCCCCACCCCGCACTGTCTCCATCCATCTCCCGCCTCTCACCCTACTGCAGGTCGATCCAGACACGGTCATGGCTCTGAAAGGATCCTACCCCGTGCTCCTGCTGTCCCTTGTCCTGCTGGGGGCTCGGCTGGCTCTGGCCAGCGGGCAGCAGTCGACTTCGACAAATGACCAATTCCTGAGGTGGCACTGGGATAACCCGAAGACTCAAGCCACCAACAACACCGCTTACTGCCGCCTGCTGACACATTGCCGGGGGATATCCAGGAGGAACAACACCTTCATCCATGACAGCATCACAGCCATCAACAGCATCTGCACTGGGAAGCGTGATGGGCCCGTGACAAGCCCACGTACCTTCAAAATCACAGTCTGCAAATTTAACCTGAAGACAGGCACTGCCACAGGGACACCCTTATTCCACCGAATTGTCGTCATCTGTAAGAAAAAGCTCCCTGTGCACTTTGTGAAGAGCGTTAGGCCCACGATCTGGGCGTAGGGGGCAAGCAGGGGACCCTACAGTTTCCTCTAACCCCTCTGTCTCTCCCACATGGGCCACAGCACCCGCATCTTCACGCACCTCTGAACGCTGGTCAGATTCATTAGGTGTCTCCATTCCAGTGCCCATTATACAGTATAGCCACCCCTTCCCCACATGCACCCTCTGCCACCCCTAGTGACCATTTTACAGTATACCTGCCTCTTCCCCATCCCCACCCTCTGCTGCCCTTTGTGAACATTAAACAGTATAGCCGCCCCTTCCCCACCCGCACCCTCTGCTGCCCCTAGTGCCCATTATACAGCCACCCCTTCCCCACCCCTGCCCTCTACTGCCCCTAGTGCCCATTATATAGTATACCCACCCCTTCCCCGCCCCCACCCTCTGCTGCCCCTAGTACAAGCCGCCCCCACCCTCTGCTGCCCCTAGTGCCCATTATAGAGTATAGCCACCCCTTTCTCATCTTGCACTCTCTTCTGCCACATAGCAACCATCTAAAAACATGTCCTGTAGGCAACATCCATCACTGTCACCTCTCTGTTATTGTGTGTTCAGTCTGATCATGGCTAATCCTCATATTCATCACAATTAACTTTTGTGTCATCATCCTCTTCATTATTTTGGAACATTTCCCCTCTGTCTGCAATTTTTATTTGCTTCCTAAGCTCAGTAAACTGATACCCACAAAACAATCACTGGCTGTTTGAAATGTGTTGTGGTTTTCCAGGGAGGGTCTCTGTACTTTCAACAACCTCTTCGGCAGTGTTGGGGAAATGATGTGGGAGTCTTGTTATCTACCTCTGTCCCTGTGCTAATCTGCTAGGAGTTAGCATTAGCTAATGGGTTAGACAAGGGGGTGGACTGGCAACAGAACTCTTCTCTGTCTCAGCTCCTCTAGGCAAACTGTAGTTAAATTCTCTGCCAGGGCTTGGAACCTGCTGGGAGTAGCATAAAATATTAAATGGGGGAGACCCCAGTTTCTGCCTTTTAGGGGCAATTTTTACTAAGAGAATTAGCAGATGAGTGAGGTCCCTGGGTCAGTTCCCTGCAGAAATAAATAGACAGGTAGATGGGCATGTACGGGTATGGATGGATAGATAGACGGATGGGTATGGGGATAAATCAGGGGTTCTCAAACTTCATTGCACCGTGACCCCCTTCTGACAACAAAGTTAATGCATGACCCCGGGAGGGGGGAGGGTCAGAGACCGGGCCCCACTGCCTTCGGTGGTAGGAATGGGGGCCTGTCAAGGTTCCTTCCCCACTCTGAATTCTAGGGTACAGATGTGGGGACCTGCATGAAAACCTCTAAGCTTAACTACCAGCTTAGATCTCCTTTTGCTGCCACCACCCAAATTATTATGAGTTATTTGGGAAACTTTGTCTACCTCCCCGCCAGAATATCTCCCTCCCAAGTACGATAACCCTTCCCTGCGTAGCCTTGAGAGACTTCTCCACCAATTTCCTTGTGAACACCAATCCAAACCCTTGGATCTTAAAACAAGGAAAAATAAATCAGGTTCTTAAAAAGAAGGCTTTTAATTAAAGAAAGAAAGGTAAAAATCATCTCTGTAAAATCAGGATGGAAAATAACTTTACAGGGTAATCAAACTCAAAGAGCCCAGAGGAACCCCCTCTAGCAACCAGAGGTAAACCCTCTAGCAAAAGGAAGATTTACAAGTTGAGAAAACAAAGATAAACCTAACACGCCTTGCCTGGCTGTTACTTACAAGTTTGAAATATGAGAGACTTGTTCAGAAAGATCTGGAGGGCATGGACTGATGTCTGGTCCCTCTTAGTTCCAAGAGTGAACAACCCCCAAAACAAAGAGCACAAACAAAAGCCTTCCCCCATCAAGATTTGAAAGTATCTTGTCCCCTTGTTGGTCCTTTGGGTCAGGTGTCAGCCAGGTTACCTGAGCTTCTTAACCCTTTACAGGTAAAAGGATTTTGGTGTCTCTGGCCAGGAGGGATTTTATAGTATTGTACACAGGAGGGCTGTTACCCTTCCCTTTATAGTTATGACACGCCCCCCAAATCACAGATAGTGTTGGACAGCCGGTTCCACACTGGCTGTGATTTCTTCCTGGAGCTCTAGGAGAAAACAGAGTTAATAAGACACATGCACCTTTAGACATACTACTGATTATATAAAAACTAACAATATGTCCCAAATTCCAAGAACAATTTTTAACCAGCTGATTCTGGGAAACTTTCACGGGAGAGTGCATCAGCCACTTTGTTAGCAGCTCCTGAAATGTCTTGTATTTCAAAATCAAAATCTTCGAGAGCTAAACTCCACCGAAGAAGTTTTTTGTTATTCCCCTTGGCGGTATGAAGCCACTTTAGCGCAGCATGGTCGGTTTGTAGTTGGAAACGCCATCCCCAAACGTATGGGCATAGCTTTTCCAGTGCGTACACATTGGCATAGCATTCCTTTTTGTTGATTGACCAGTGGCTTTCCCTCTCAGACAATTTCTTGCTGAGAAACACGACAGGATGGAATTCTTGATCTGGTCCTTCCTGCATTAACACTGCTCCCACACCACGCTCGGACGCATCTGTGGTTAGTAGGAACGGTTTGTCAAAGTCTGGGGCCCTTAGAACAGGGTCAGATATGAGTGTCGCCTTCAGTTGGTTAAAGGCCTTCTGACACTCATCAGTCCACTGAACGGTATTTGGCTGTTTCTTTTTGGTTAGGTCTGTCAGTGGGGCAGCGATTTGGCTGTAGTCTGGTACAAATCGCCTATTATATCCGGCCAAGCCTAAGAAGGATTGGACCTGTTTCTTTTACTTTGGGACAGGCCACTTTTGGATAGCATCCACTTTGGCCTGTAGGGGGTTGATAGTTCCTTGACCCACCTGGTGTCCCAGGGAAGTCACTCTGTTTAGGTCTATTTGACACTTTTTAGCCTTAACAGTTAGTTCTGCCTACCTGATGTGCTCGAAGACTTTTTCCAGGTGCTCCAGCTGTTCTGCCCATGAATCAGAGAAAATGGCCACATCATTGAGGTAGGCAACTGCAGATTCTCCCAATCCCGCTAGGAGACCATCTACAAGTCTTTGGAAGGTGGCGGGTGCATTTCTCAGCCCGAAAGGGAGTACATTGAATTCATGCACCCCTGCCAGTGTGACGAAGGCTGACCTTTCCTTGGTGGGTTCATCTAGTGGTATTTGCCAGTACCCCTTGGTTAAGTCTAAGGTAGAGATGAATTGGGCATGTCCCAATTTCTCCAAAAGCTCATATGTGCGTGGCATTGGATAGTTGTCGGGCCAAGTTACAGCATTTAGCTTACAGTAGTCCACGCAAAAGCGTATTTCCCCATCTGGTTTGGGAACTAGAACCACTGGAGATGCCCATGCACTCTTAGAGGGGCGGATTATACCCATCTGTAGCATGTCCTGGATCTCCCTTTTTATAGCAGTTTGGGCAGAGGTGACTCCCGGTAGGGTGGGGTTCTAATTGGGTGAGCATTACCTGTGTCAATGGAATGGTATGCCCGTTCGGTCCGTCCTGGGGTGGCTGAGAACATTGGCGCAAAGCTAGTGCACAGCTCCTTGATCTGCTGTCACTGCAGACGTCCAAGGGTCGTGGAGAGGTTCACCTCTTCCACGCCACCATTCCTTTTTCCTTCGTAGTAGACACCTGCAGGCCACTCCGCGTCATCTGTTTCCTGGGCTGTAAACTGGCAAACGTTTAATTCTCTGGAATAAAAGGGTTTAAGAGAATTAACATGGTATACCTTAGGCTTTATGTTGGAGGTGGGGGATGCTATGAGATAGTTAACAGCTCCTAGGCACTCCTGGACCGTGAATGGTCCTTCCCATGACACTTCCATTTTATGGGCCTGGAGCTCCTTTAAGACCATGACTTGGTCTCCTACTTTGAAGGACCGTTCTCTGGAATGTTTACCATACCAGGCCTTTTGCGCTTCCTGAGCATCCTTTAGGTTTTCTTTAGCAAGGGCTAAAGAGTGTTGGAGGGTGCTTTGTAGGTTGCTTACAAAGTCTAGAATGTTAGTTCCTGGAGAAGGCGTAAACCCCTCCCATTCTGCTTCACCAACTGTAATGGCCCCTTAACCTCGCGGCCACACACAAGTTCAAATGGTGAAAACCCTAAACTGGGATGTGGTACAGCCCTGTAGGCAAAAAGCAACTGCTGCAACACTAGGTCCCAATCATTGGAGTGTTCATTTACGAATTTACGTATCATGGCCCCCAAAGTTCCATTAAACCTCTCCACCAGGCCATTGGTTTGAGGTGGTAAGGGATGGCCACCAAGTGGTTCACCCCATGAGCTTCCCACAGCTTTTCCCCATGGTCCCTGCCAGGAAATTAGTTCCCGAATCGGTAAGGATGTCGGAGGGCCAACCTACCGTGGCAAAAATGTCTGTTAGTGCCTGGCACACATTTTTAACCCTGGTGTTGCTCAGAGCTACTGCTTCTGGCCATCGGGTAGCAAAATCCATGAAAGTCAGTATGTACTGCTTTCCTCTGGGTGTCTTCTTTGGGAAAGGACCCAGAATATCCACAACTACTCGCTGAAATGGGACCTCAATTATGGGGAGTGGCTGGAGAGTGGCTTTGACCTGGTCTTGGGGTTTTCCCACTCTTTGGCACACCTCACAAGACCGGTCATAATTAGAAATGTCCTTGCCCTTTCCCTCCCAGTGGAAGGACTTCCCCAAACGGTCTTTGGTTCTGTTCACCCCAGAATGGCCACTAGGATGATCATGGGCTAAGCTCAAGAGCTTTACCCAGTACTTAGTTGGAACTACCAACTGTCTCTGAGGATGCCAGTCTTCCTGGTGTCCACCAGAAAGAGTCTCCTGGTATAAAAGTCCTTGTTCTACCACAAACCGGGATCGGTTAGAAGAGCTGAGAGGCGGTGGGGTGCTCCGTGCCGCCGCCCAAGCTTTCTGAAGGCTGTCATCTGCTTCCTGCTCGGCCTGGAACTTTTCCCTTGATGCTGGAGACATCAGTTCCTCCTTGGATTGTGGT